CGGACATCTCAGTGGCCCGCGCCAATGACGTTCAGAAAATACAGGAATTTACAAATGTGCCCAGTATGATGACAGACTTGCTTGTCCCCAGTCCCATTTGAAAGGCAATTTCAGGCGCAGTTTGGGGAAAGACATTTGCACTTCTCTACTCCACCAGTTCCGCTTCCAAGACTCATGCCTGGTTTCTACAAGCTTCGGCTGATGTCATTTCGTGGCTTCACCAGATTTCACAGGTATTCACTGATGGCCCCGGCCGTCGATGGGAAGCAGCAAAAGAGCAACTGTGCCCCCCCCCCCCCCACTCCCCTCGCCGGCGCCGAACTGCGCCCGATTTTATCTTAAAATCGTATCAAATTAGTAATAATCCACGTTTTAGGCACCGTTCACAGCTTGCGATAAAGACGAGATGTAGAACGTATCGATTGGGGCAGGGCGGAGCTAGCGACGTAGGGTCCCGCAACGAATACCTGGCGCCGGCGCACATTGTTGGCAAATTGCCCATGCCGGCTTGTAGGAAACAATTCCTTCTTTAGGCAGGTGCATATATCCACTTGGGGGTATATACGAAAAGAGAAACGGGAGTGTTTGGAAATTGCAAAAAGACTTTTTCCCTCTAGCGAAGCCGGGCGATCCGACTGGATCTCAGTTGGAAATGTCAGAGGGGAATACCCTCTGCACACGCAGATACCCATTTCACACGCAGATGACTCAGGAGGCAAACTTAGATAAGGACTTCTAGATAATGCTGATATCCACTAGTTCGTTAATCATCATAACCCAAAAAGCTCAAAGGAGTTCTTTTTTGCCGAAACTCTGTGCACAGGGGTAATTGATGGCCCAGATCACGTTCTGACCGCAATTCTCGGTGCCGGCATGGCGCTGGATGCGGTGCCGAAAATAAGTGTCGGGATAAGAATAAAGATTAGTTGGGCAGATGGCGAAATAAATCACAATAAGGTCTGAATGAGGGTCGAATGCATGAAGACCCTTATTTCCGGCGGGAGCACGGCGCGAGTACCCTTTGTGTGCGGGAATACTTGAGAAACTTTGATAATACCTCTCTTCGTGCCAAGTGAAGTAGTTTCTTCCTGGCTTTATTCTGCTAGTTTTTTGGTGCGTAGTCAAGAACACTTCATAATCTTTGCATGCTCAATATTACAGTCAGAAAGGAGCCCAGCAGTATGGCTTAAATCGCTTTTTCTTAACGAATTTTTTTCACTTCTTGTGCTGGCATTCCCTGAAGCGCATAGCAAAAATGAAACATATTTTTGAGATCCTTTTATGAACCCCTACTGCATGCAACACCGTTTATAAAAAGCACGCCTCGACTTGGAAGAGCTGCAAGACTCACCAGACCCACCAAGCCCGACATTCGCACTCGAAGGATCATGCTGCGGTGTTTTTGGGTTCGCAGAGCCCACTGTTCTGAACCACCCGAATGTAAGTTAAGGATCAGTGCCAATATATAGGTGGAAAGACTTCTGAATTTTGCCTCTGCAATGCGAACGAAGCGCTCGAAACTATTCAGCGCTCGAAACCTTCTCGACTGAAGAACGTGTTGATTTTCCACTTTGCGAACACGACTTGCCGAGGTCCGAAGAGGTAACCTAATCAAAAAGACTTCATGTTGTTTTTGCTTAAGTTCATCATGTGTTTCTCGGTCTTACTAGCATATGAGTAAGAGCGCAAAATACATGATTGATCCCATTAAAAGTGGTGTATTCGAAGTGCCGAAAATAAGACAGAACTTATGGAGCAACCTGATGCTACTAGTATTTCTCGGACCAAAAAGCTGAGGCCTTCTACAAGCAGGGCATGCCACTGCGTTGTGATTTTCCTGAAAAATACGACCCCCCAATTCCATATTCAAGTACGAACCCCCTCCCCATAACCTCTTCCCTTGATTTTTCCCAGCCTCCTACCCTTCTCTACTTTGGTTTCACCAAAATCTTTCGACAAAATTTTTACAAAATTTTGAATCTCGTTGAGCCAGTGGGGGGGGAAGGTCGCATACCTACACTGAAGGATCCGACAAGCAGGTCATAGGGAGCACCATCCGGCGGCTGTGTAAGCAATACCGACAATACGTACGAGGAAGGGGCGATGATAGGAGCTACGATCACCGCCCACGAGGGCACCATGAATTTATAAACAATGGAAAGGACTTACGACGTGACGATTAATAAACAGATGAAGGTACATTCTGAAAACCGGGGGAGGGCAACTTTGGTGCCTGATCGCGTAATGAGGGCAAGCATTTGCTGTGCAACTGGAAGTCCCATAAGTCTAAGAAGTTACACTTCCGCAATACACGCCTGCATGTAAAGCCCATGCATGCGCATTGCAGAGATGATGCCAATTGGCGCCCAATGGCCTATTTCCTGATACCCTTTGCGAAAACATGTGTTTTAGAAGCATACCAAAGTCTTCAAGCCAACTGGAGGTTTCATGGCCTCGGAGGGGCTGATTTTTCGTGTCGTGGGGGGGGTGGTCACGAAATAACGGAAAAAAATTTTTTCGAATAGCGGCCATGAAGGAAGGTAAAATTAAAGCCCTGCGTGAAAAGTAAAAATCTCAAGCTTCCGCACAATTTCTATTTTTTAGCGAATAGGCGCGGTATGAAAGCTGCATGGCACGTCCAATAGTGTATCGGACCTCGCGCGTTCGTCCAGAAAAAATGATCACAAGAATCGATCACAACGATGATCCAACGGGAAAAACCCTCCGCCCTTCTCTGTGGAAATCGAACGTTCTTGAAAATCAGCACTCAATTCAGGTGACAAGAGCCAACCTAGTCTCTACTCACTCCCACGCTACCCCTCTCCGATAGCTTCACTTTCAACGAAGTTATGGGTGTTCAAATGAGGGGTACTTTTCACGTGTTTGGCTTGAAATTGGCTCCAGGCCGTAAAATAGCGCGCACCAATGAGCTTGTATGAGCGCGCTGACCGCGAACAGCCAAAATTCAAAAGTAATCCATAGTTCCGGTTCCCAGCTGAGCGGTGAGTTTTTTCTTATCCATTTATTGTGAATTACTTTGATTGTTTTGTTTTGTTAAGTTTGATTTTGTTTTGTTGAGTTTGATTTTGTTGTGAGGAAATTGCTCAGCATTTCAATTTCTACGGTTTCATAGGTAGCTTTTGCAATGGATTCTCTTAAGATTTTGCGGATTAGTGGATTGGGATTTACCTAGACCAGATGAGGAGGGTTGGTGGGCGAAGTGTCTTGAAGTTTTTTGTGAGGAAGGAGGAAAAGTTTCAGCAATATTTTTTTAGTTTTTGGCCTAGGAATAGTTCGATAGTGCCTAGTTCTATTTATTGTCATCTACATCGTCCCTTTTGAGCTTCTTTTCACTTGTACCGTGTATCACCGCTCTCTCCACTTCAACATGGGCCATGCGTTTACGACCCCCCCTCCATCGCGGGCAAATACGACCCCCCCGTTGTGATGATCACAAAGATGGCGTGCCCAGTCTACACTATCACCTTCGTCTTCACATCGCAGTGATGAAACTTCCACCTTCTGTAGGACTTAGTGAATTATCATACTACATTTACTGGAGAGTCTCTCTTTTTTAACGGACTACTACCCGTTGTGCGCGTTGGAGTAGCATCTTGCTGCAGGAATTCTAACTATCTGAGATTTCCACCTTCTGTAGGACTTAAGTTTTCTTCTTAGAACTCAGCGTCACTCATTCTGCACAAAAGGCATTGCTTGATCGCACATTATTCATCCTTGTGGTGACTGCACTGGCTGTTGACTAGATGTTGATCAGGAGAGTGGAAGACACTTGCTAGATGCCCTTTGACGGAGAGCCGCTCAGTTGTTCTTTGTTGGGACGGCGGGCATTAATCGGAACTGCATGTACTTTTTGCTGACCGCGCTGCTGCCCTATGAATAATTCTGCTCTCCTTTATTACATTTTATTCATTGGGAGCACATACAGCTAACCGCAACCATCTCGCAAGGGGACATGCACTAAAGGCTGCACTGCACATAACCTCAAACTCGGACGCCAAGTTTTTGAATTTTTCTTTTTTAAGTGTTTTTCGTTCGTGTTTTTGTTGTTTTTCGTATTCTTTTCTTTGCATTGGATGTTGTCCACTACTGGGAAATGCGATAAAGCGATTTGTGAGCCAGGGGTTGCCCACGGACCGCAGGGCGGTGTAACTGTAAGGGAGCAATTTTGTTTGTGGTGTTCTTGAGGGCTCTTGTTGCTTTTTTCCCTCATTGAGGAATTACTTATCAGCTACTGTTTCATAATTGATCAGCAATTATCCTTGACACTTTTACCGCGGGAGCTGTCTTTGAAATAAATAAAAGCTCGAATGAGAACAAATACTGCTCAGAATTATGGGACAATGGAGGATCTGCGAGAAGGCATGAATATCTTTTTGTACACGATTGGCGTTTTCTTTTAGGTGTCGATACTTTCGCGGCTTAGTAACGAAAATGCAGAGGAGTTCAACTTCGTGCGAGCTTTCGAATGCTTCCAGCACAAGCACCACACTTGTCTTGTTTTCGAAATGCTTGAGCAGAACCTCTACGACTTTCTCAAGCAGAACAAATTTACTCCTCTACCTCTCAACAGTATTCGTCCAATTGTACAGCAGGTAGCCTTACTCCACATGATGGCTTTTTTCGCTTTATTTAAGTATCCTTCAACTCATTACAGGTTCTTACAGCGTTGCTCAAACTGAAATCTCTCGGCTTGATCCATGCTGATCTCAAGCCTGAAAACATCATGCTGGTTGATCCCACCAATCAGCCCTTCCGAGTAAAGGTCATTCATTTTTCAAGTTTTTAGTGGGACTGCGATCCCTTGAAGTCGAAATATAGTCCGATTTATATTCGCACTCATATAAAATCATCACTTATATCAAAAGAATCGGATCGCCAGCTGACGCCGGCGCTCCATCTGTGACACAACAAAAATCGCAGGGGGCGGTACATAGGGCGATAGCAGCGGTGGTGCATTTCTTTTTCACCATATTTTTGGTTTTTAAATTCCTGACTGTCCCTGTTTCATGCGCACTTTGTACCTCCTCCTACCCCCCCCCCCCGCTCGATATCATTGCATGCAGTTGGTTTGGTTCAGTGGTTCATCGGGTTGATTTTGATTCAGCTGCCGATTATATATGGTAGGATAGTGGGATGAGTTCATTTTCTACTGCTATCAGGCCTCACACATTGAGCTTCTAATTACTTGGCGTTATAATGATAAGGAGGCGGAGGTGGTGTAGTGACAAGTGGCGCGCTTACCACTCGCGCGGTCCTGGGTTCGAATCCCAGGTCGACACCCGCCCAGGCCAACCAAGCCTTCTACCCTCCGGGGACGGTAAATTGGTACCAGATTCGTCTGGGAGGATAAACACTGACTTGTACATCGGCTGGCCACCGCAAGTCATTGTATAGGCCACATCGCATTCAATAAGCCACTACGATTCTGAATGGAAGTAGAATGCGTGCCGCATCCCACAAAGGGATTGATCAACGGCGAAGACTTTATCCTTTTTTAATGGGGATGAGAAGTGATAAGAAATGTAGTGAAGTTGGCCTCTTATCTATTCTTATCGACTGATATGATTACCTGTCTCCCGCCATCATTTCATTTTTTATCGCTTTTGCCACCCACTATTGATGTCCCCATTTCACCCTATATATCACTTGCTGGAACCAAAGTTCGCTGGTGCCTTGACGCGCGCTGATAATGCGATGGCCTCACGCTTCTAACGCTCCTTATCGAGTCTTATCAGCAGCTCACAGTTCTTGTCACCCACCAAAGATGTTCTTGGTCCCATACCCTATATCATATCTTGGAATCAGCACCTAGCTGATGCTGTCACCCGCGTTATGAATATGGTGACCATCCCCTTCTAACGCCTCTTATCGAATCTTATCAGCTGATATCACTTCCTGTCACCCACCAATAGTGTTCCCGTCACCCCCCTACATCACTTCTTGGAATCAATGTCTCACTGCTACTGGGATTGGCGCTATGAATTTCGTGACAAACAGACAGACACACACACACACGGACATAGACGATTATACATGCTGGAATCACCCACTATATAGAATTTGCTTCGTGTTTGTTTGTTTTGTCAGGATATTCGGTTCGACCTGAAGAACAACTTGGGGGGTTCGAGTCAAGGCGGGGATAGAAACAATTACGAACAAGAAGCTCCGCTACTGAAGCGAGATTTACGCGCCTTTCTGTGCGGTGTCGATGTTGTGGGCAGGTGAAGGTCAAAAGTTCACGAATTAGTTGCAGAGCAGCATAGGCACCGGGGACAGGTGGATTGAGGTCCACAAGGGGTCAGCGGACGAAGTGGAGGAGACATCTCAAAAATGGGCAGACTGCTTTTGAGATGGGCGGGCTGCTTTTGAGATGGGAAGGCTCTTGCTGAAAAATTTCGTGGTTCGCATCTGAGTGAACTTGGAGATCAGGAAAAGCTTTTGATGAAGAGAAACGTATGGCGTGAGTTCATCTGGTATGTTGAGACCCGCCTACAGTGGGTGGAGCGTGTTCTCAAGCACGGGGTCCCTACTTTCACTGCGTTTTAGTGCATAGGCCGCCACACTCTTGAACACCTGTTGTCACACGTACATTTGATACCAGTCGGTTCGCTGGCTGACGCCGGCGCGACTCCTTTTCTAATAGGGCCAGGCTTTGCCGGTTTTGCTTACTTCGTCGCGCCCACCTGCTTGCGTATGTTTGAATGCTCAACTAATACCCGGTTTCTCTCTCATCTGCGCATTTGATCAACTGCTTACCACCATTCATAGACGGTAATAGTGTCGAAAATAGTAGGTATGATGTTATTGCTCAAGGAGCGTTGACTATGTGTACAGGTGAAATAAAAGCCGGATAATTGTTGAGTATCCAGTGTAGAAGGAGGTAAGCGCGGCGAAGCCGCGCCCGCCTGGCGAAGCTGGGCCGTATCACGGAAGGAGGCCGGCTTCATAACTTGCGACGACAGAATTTCTACGACTCACAGTGGAGCCTTTGTGACAGGCAGCATCATTGTAAACTCACCGATGTGGTCATACTTGACTGCTTAGGGAGGGGGGTTGTGGGTGGAGCTGTAGACGCAGGGTCGATGACCAACGTACAGCGCAAAACGTTGTCGCTATGTTGTTTAGCGAAACCAGCGTTGTAGAGGTCCCGGATGGGTAGGACGGAAAACTACAAAATCAAAATACTTGACTAATAGTGTTAATGAATAATCCAAAGTTGCGTAAAATTCCGAATTATAGATGACTAGCTACTACAACGCGGAAAGATGCAATTAGGTTAACCTTTCTGAACCCCATGAATACATCTGTTCCATGAACAGGAATTACATTTAAAAGAGCTACGCCTTCCCACCACCCCTGCGTGGGCTCACAGACAGCATTCGTGCACTGGCACACTGGGCTCCGCCTACTCAGCCACGCATACTTCAGGAGGCTTTCTGCGATATTTTGCGAAATCTTGACGTTTTTATGACTTATTCACCTTTCGGAGCCTCAAGTGCACTCTTTCCCTCACTATGAGAGGCTCCCCTCATCTCACGCAATTATTGTTACCCGAAAATCTCCAAAAAAGAAGTGCTGAAAACTTGCCGATTGGGGTTACTCAGTGCGCTGTTCTCAATATTTTTTTGGCATTGGGGCCATTTAGAGCTTTGCTAAAGCTGAGCGAAAGGAAAGGGGTGGGGGGGGGGATCGTTCTCCACGCTCAGACGAGCTGCTCGTTGAACCCGTTTTTGTAGAATAACCATGTATGCACCTAGAACAGATCCCATCGTGGAACAAAAAAGAAAATGATACTTTTGACGCCAATTTACACTTAGTCTCAATTTCATCTCCGGATAGACCGTACGTTAGGCTTCTACGCGGAGGTGAAATGGTACAACTTGTGCCATGTCTCTCCATGCAAGCAGATGGGTTTTTTCAGAACCCGGAAAGGTTCATGGCCTACCTCCTCCCTTCCCCATCCAGCGGGCAAATACGATTGTTCCTGTCGGGCAACCCGCGGCTACGTTGTGCCTTCCTTGGTCGCGAACCTTTTTACGCCAAACTAAGATTACTACTCGGTATCGAAATGGTAATCGCCAAGCAAAATATCTGACCAATCGAACACTTCAGTTTCACTGGAAAGGAACCCTCTCCTTGCAGAATACGAAACACGTTCTCGGTCTGCGAAATATGTTTCTTGCATCGCCCAGTCCGTTTTTTCGAGAAAGTCAACGGTTAACAGCCAGGGTCAGTCCAAAGTCGCGAGACCCCATCTATACTATCAAGCTAAAATTTTACCACCAGGAAAGGCTATTTGGTTAGAAGAGATGTTGTTTGTTCCAAACTTGGCGACTTCCGAAAAACTCCACCGTATGACATGATGTTAAGACCTATCATTTTGAGAATACTACTCTCATCTCAGAAACTTAGCCAGTAGTGTGGATGCTTTCTTCACAATTCTTTGCGTAATGTTCTCTCTTGATTGGCCGGTGCACAAAACGCTCACACTTGTCACTCTCTGTCACCACCACCGAAAATCCAGCGGTGGAGACAATGTCCAACCCACTGACGAGAGCGCGCTCGTTGTTTTCATGTTATCAAGTATGCTACTTTTTTCTCGACGACCTCAACACTCCTGCGTTGATGCACAGAATGCTGTCTCCACCTCTCGATTCTTAATTAAAGTGGCGGAGAGTGACCTCTGCTTTGACCCTTTGAATTTCTGCGCTGGACAGCGGGCTCTGAGTCGCAGACCTACCATTTAACCATAACACTCTCAGTGTTCTTCTAGCCTTCCATTTTGAGATTTGTCTCATTAATAAAGCTATTGAAATTGGCTTTGAAGTCGACGCATGTGGACTCGGAATCTGCCTGCGAGCGGTGGTTCGGTGCGTTTATTCTAGCGGAACTATGTCAAATATGCTCCAGTGGTCTTTCAAACATCGATTATAGTCTTAACCAGTTTGGTCTGACGCGCACTACTGCGCGCATGGTTAAACCTATGGTACTGATCACTGACAGTATTCCTGTGCTGATCCCTAACACTTGGCCTAATTCCCATGTTTTCAAGTACGGCCCATTTCATCTTATTTCACCTCTTTCATGAACATTGGCCAATCTGGTGCTTATCATGCTTCAAAAACTCACCATCCCGTTGGAAGTAGGACAGCTTAGCGGTTGAAAGAGTTTCGATGGTAACAATATCGAAATCAGTGGAATGTGCTTACATCCTGGTACTTTCCTTGAGTTCTGTTATTCACTACCAGTTTGGCTGACGCGCATTACTGCGCGTGCAACTATGCTACTGATTACTGACAGATTCCTGTGCTGACCACTAACACTTGGCTCGGGCTCGATTCCGTTTCGGAATACATTTCGTCATATCACCTTTTTAATGAACATTTGCCAATGTCTGATGCTTATCACATTTCTAAAAACACCCACCATTCGCTGGAAATAGGACAGCTCAGCGGTTGAAAGAATTTTGATGGTAACAATATCGAGATCATAGAAATGTCCTTACCTAGTACTCCCGTTGAGCAGCTTTCACATATCCGTCTGTTGGTGGCTCTTATCATTCCTCACTGGCAAACATCTTTAGGCTTTTACTTTTTGTCGAAACTCGAGAGTTTAGCGGTCTAATCAATCCCGATTACTTTGCCAAAGGATGAAACATCTCGGCACCCAACTAACGAGGAAGGTCGTTCAGGGCGTGCCCCGCTTTTTCAAAACGGTTTTTTGCATTTCGTAGGGGCTTGAACATAGACCACAGAAGTGGGG